GGTCGAGCGCGGCGTCGTCACCAGCTGGGACGACATGGAGATCCTCTGGGGCCACACCTTCGAGCACGAACTCCACGTCGAGCCTCGGGAGCACAGCCTCCTGCTGGCCGAGCCGCCCCTCTGCTCGAAGCCCAACCGCGAGAAGGCGGCGCAGGTTCTGTTCGAGACGTTCGGCGTGGGCGCGCTCTGCGGGGCCAACCAGGCCGTGCTGTCGCTGTACGCGTCGGGGCGGTCCACGGGCATCGTGCTGGACTCCGGCGACGGCATCACCCACGCCATGCCCTTCTACAAGGGGTACTCTCTCCCCCATGCCATTCTGCGCTCGGATCTGGCCGGCAGGGACCTCACGCAGTACCTGGAGGAACTGCTGGGCAAGCGAGGCTATTCCTGCCACAGCTCCACCGAGAGGGACATCGTCCGCGACGTCAAAGAGCGCCTGTGCTACGTCGCCCTCGACTTCCACCAGGAGATCGCCAATGCCAAGACCTCCGCCGTCGAAAAGACCTACGAGCTTCCCGACGGGGAGGTCATATCCCTCGGAGAAGAGAGATTCCGCTGTCCCGAGGTCCTGTTCGACCCGTCCCTCATCGGCAAGGAGGCCCGGGGCTTGCAGGACGCCGTATACGACTCCATCCTCAAGTGCGAGGCGGACATCCGCAAAGACCTCTTCGCGAGCATCATGCTGACCGGCGGCAGCAACAGGTTCCCAGGCATGGCCGACAGGATGAAGAGGGAGCTGGGGGACAGAACCCCTCTTACGGTTAGTGTCCTCGCCCCGCACCCCGAGCACCAGTACTCCGTGTGGACCGGCGGCTCCATCCTGGCCTCGCTCTCCACCTTCCCGCAGATGTTGGTCAGCAAGCAGGAGTACGAGGAGGCTGGACCAACGGTTCTCCACAAGAAATGTCAATGATCTCTTCCTGTCTTCAGTATGCCAAGTAGATTATATAAAATTTATCTGGAATTTATACGAAATTAATTCAATGTTTTGCTTATCCACACACTATTTATAAGCAGGAGCGTGACTGGTATTTAAGCAAGGAAAGGAGAGGAACCTGTGATGCAAAATGTGTTAACGTGTATGCCCTCATACCCTCCAGTATTTACCTTCATGTTTTACGCTTTATGCATATATATATATATATATATATATATATATATATATTATATATATATATATATATATATATATATATATATATATATATATATATATATATATATATATATATATATATATATATATATACACACACACACACACACACACACACACACACACACACACACACACACACACACACACACATACACACACACACACATATATATACCATTGGAGAATTATTCAACTTTAAATGCTTATTCATAATACTTACCCTGTCTCCTCCTCCCTGGCTACCCACCAGAAATAGATTATGAGTCAATACTTCAACAGATCAAAGACACTATAAGAAAGATGGGAAAACACATATTACACCGATTAAAGTAAATGCGAGGCCCAAAACTTTATACAGCGCCATCTATTGTTCAGATATCTAACTAAGAAAGGAGAACGTTCATAGGGGGGACTAATTTTGTTATTTTTTTTTTTTCTTAGTTCTAATGCTTTACTTTAAGTTGAAGTTTTGCAATATGCTTTTAAATAAGAGACTTGAAATATATCAAAGAATTACTTTACATATATATATGTACAAATCTACATGGAATTCTATTATTATTCTATTCTTTACTAACTTTTTTCTAATAAGAGATTTCTTTGCCTACATTAAAATAAGCTTCTGCACTGTTTTTTTCTTTTTTTAAGAATATGAAAATAAAGCATTTATTAATAATTATCTCATGTGTATGCATATGACATCATAAAATTATTCCATTGTTTAAAGACTATACAATTTTACTACAGAAAAAATATCTGGTGTTAATGTAATACATACGAACTTAAATTCAATAAACTCTACAATCTAATAAATAAACAAATCTATTAAATAAACTTTACTATAATTCGGCATTAATAAATTCTTCATGTTTTTCATTCGCTTTTGTTGCCATTAAATCAAGGATATGCAAAACACATTTATGTAAACCATTTCTTGATTTGATCTCATGTCATTATCAATGAAAATATTAATGAAAGCAGAGCTACAGTTAAAACAAAAGGAATCATAAAACATACGAAAACAAACAAACAAAAACAGTCCCTTTCCTACCGTTTTGAATAAGTGACGTTTCACGATAGTAAACAAACAGACGATACATCGCTTACACAACGCCATCTATTGTTCAGATTTTACACACTATCGCCAACTTCCACCTCACGGACTTTTATCATACTTTCCTATCTTTGGTATATAGGAGATACGGGGTTTTCTTATGAGGAGAGCCTCTGAAATCGGCAGAGATTTCCACTGATAGACGAAAATTTGAGTTGCAATCTGACTGAATTCCGAACGTAATTATTATTTCTTTACCACTTTGGGTAGATTTCACAAGAAAAAAT